CACGAACCGGGACCTATGCCCCCATTGGTCCCGGTTCTTTGGCTGAACTGGGACTAATGGGCTGGCCCGGACTGAACCAAAGCCATGTTTTTTACTAGTGTATAAACACCGTGCTAGATATTTTGCTAATATGATTACCTTAGGGGGATATACTCCGTAGTCCTAGGTGCTTCTCCAATTTTGGGGATCTTGCCTCCTCGGATGATGTAGTAGGTGTAGTAGTTCCACACACCGTCTTAGCTCTTAATGTGGTTGCGTGAGTCTTGAGCTGTTCGATAAAACGAGAAAAACGAGACACGAGAGCATACGGATTTTTACATGGAAATCCTTGCGAGAGAAAACCACGGACGCACGAAGGCGCAATCACTATAAGGAGGAGTATTACAAGCACGAGACGACAGGCCGTCTTAGATGCGACTACATGGGGTATATATAAGGGGCAACACATAAGAGTCCTTGTAGGACAAGTAAACGAGTTATACTCGTATGCGTCAGTACCAACGCAAAGACCCACACCATATGTACTATGTCTAGTCCAATACGGTAGAATTTGGATCACAATTTAACAATCTCCACCTTGAGCCAAATTCCCTCCAGTAGTCGAAATAAAGTAAATAACTCCATCCAAATCAGCATAAACACCTTGTGCACCAAAGTCCATATGACTAGTGAAAAATACCAATTAAGCCTGAGCAAAGCTCAAACTTATTTGTAGGAACTGGCTTTGTCATCATATCAGCAGGATTACCATGCATACTTATCTTTCATACCTTCAAATCACCTTCAGCAACAACATCTCGAATATAGTGATGTCTGACATCAATGTGCTTTGTTCTCTCGTGATACATTGGATTCTTTGCAAGACATATAACACTTTCACTGTCACTAAATACGGTAGGGCAAGATGAATCCCCATAAAGCTCAGCATACAAAACTCTCAACCAGATAGCTTCTTTGCATGCCTCAAAAATAGCCATATACTCGACATCAGTAGTGGAACAAGACACAATAGACTGCAAAGTTGCTCTCCAACTCACAGCACAACCACCAATGGTGAAAACATAACATGTGAGCGATCTTCTCTTATCCAAATCACCAGCAAAATCAGAATCAACAAAACCAACAAGTCCATCTCCAGTTTTCCCAAGCTGTAATAAGCATTAGAAGTACCTTGCAGGTATATGAAAATCCACTAAAATGCTTTCCAATGCTCTTTTCCAGGATTAACCATGTATCTACCGACGACACTTAATGCATAAGATAAATCCGGGCGAGAACAAACCATGGCATACATAAGTGAACCAACTGCACTCGAATAGGGAACTCTAGACATGTAACTCAATATCTGCATCTGAGTTAGGACATAAAGCTGATGATAATTTGAAGTGTGTAGCTAACGGAGTACTCACCAGCTTGGCATTATGCATATTAGAACGACAAAGAACTTTATCAATATATCTCTTCTGACTAAGATATACTTTTCCAGACGGTTTACCTCTGAATATTTCCATGCCAAGTATTTTCTTTGTTGCACCCAAATACTTCATCTCAAATTCATTACTCAATTGCTTCTTTAGTTCATTAATCTCTGACATACTCTTTGCAGCAATTAGCATATCATCAACATAAAGGAACAAATAAATAGTTGAACCATTGACCAACGCAAAGGTCCACACCGTATGTACTACGTCTAGTCCAATACGGTAGATTTTGGATCACAATTTAACATGAGCCTTACGCCTGGTAGGGCTTCCCATGATAGGACAGTTGTTGATGCTCTTGTTGTTGTTGGGGTGCTCCGGGGTGTTTAGCTTCGGTGTCGCCTTGTCCTTGCCAGTATCCTCGGCTTTCTCATATGCCGGTCCTGCTTACAAAGGCCCCCAACATAGCTCAGTGTTTTGTTCATATTCCTCGATGGTTGGGTTGAGGTAACCTCTGTGATGTTGTTCTTGGTTGGAACCTCTTTAGTTGATGCTGCTTCACTCCATCGAAGGATGCTTCCAATGAATCTGCATGTTCGATATTCCGCAGCAGAGTGCTTTAAGATTGATGCGAATCCTTTCTTAGGTTGCAATGGCCATCCTTTGTTTGTAAAGCTTACAATTTGTGATATCATGGAATTGAGTGTGGTGTAGCCTGCACCACTTTCTTCGTGGTTTGTAGTCTTGAAATCCCTTTCATGTCATGGATCCGCCATATTTGCCGATTGTGTCGGTGCGGTTGATGATGGCAGTATTCCAAGGGTGTTGTTTGCGTATCTTTAGCCGCTTTGATTGGTGCGATCTGGACCATGTGGCACTCCAACATGCTGACCCAACAAAGCATCAAAACCAATAACAACAAAAAAAGTAGCGCGCTGCAAGATTTGGTGTGGCCCTTCTTAAATGCTATACACGTTATAGTGTGCTATATTTGAAAAATAGTGTTTTCATAAAAAATGATTAATATTCCAAAAATGTCAAGTATGTGGCATAATCCATTTGAGTGGAAGCACAAACTCAGCCACTGCAGTTGTTGTTATGCAAGTGCACATGGTTTAGTTTTAGTATTTATGAAGTAAGAGTATCGACCCCGTAGGAAACACACGAATTGGACTTTGTTACTTGTAACGATTAGATTTAGTGCCTCCAGGTTAGTTGCAACCCCAGGCAAAGCGGAAATGGTAGTTTAAATTATTGAGTAAATTTTGCGAACACCGAAATAAAGAGCACGAGTAAAATAAAACAGCGTGAGACGAAAGTAACGGTGGTGATCCATGTGATTGGATGGTGGTGATGCTTTTGCAATGTCGACCTCCTCAGAGGCATAGTTTTTGGACCTGGGCATAGACAAGAGGAGTGTAAGGGTTTCTGGTTGGAGGTTGGTGCTGAGGTGGGCATTGCAGCCTTCGGCGCCCTATCTCATTGATGCCCCGATTTGGGTGGCTGAGGCAAGGAGGCGTTGTGTGGCTCTGGGTAGCAACGATCCATAACGACGGATTTCATTGAATAGGTGGTGCGTCGTGGTAGTGCCGATGATGCTGGTCGGCAGTGCCGATGAACGGGCCATGGATGCTCGACATAGTTGGGGCGGCTGATGTGAATATGATGGTGCAGTGATAGCGCGCGATGTATTATGCCATTGGTCAGCCCAGATTTACCACCAACATACACTTGTGTTTGTAGCAGGAGATTGCCGGAGCATCTCTAGTATGGGAATTTGGTGGTATCTTCTTCTCTCGCCACTTCTGATTTGCGATCTATGTCACATGTGCGTCGATGGATGTTCTTGGCTCTGCGGACGTCTCTTGGCTGCTGAGCTACTTGCACATGGTGTGTGCAAGTTTTGTTCACACGGTTCTGCCCACGTCCGGGATCATGTGTGCTTGCATCATCTTCGTTGCGTCGGGTCTACAACTGTTTGGCGTGGGATTGTAGCTCTTTTCTCCCCTTTTCTTTCTATTTTTTTTCTGCCTAGATATAGATTTGGTCTGGTATAATTTTGCTCTCTACCGGCGTGATCCTTCATATCATCATATGTGTGTTCGTATTAATTGTGTATATCTTTTTTTATTTCTTTAATTGTGTATATCTTAATCATGTGGTGGTTGGGTTTGTGCTCATCAATTTTTTGGCTACCGAATCCCAGAAAATTACCGAGGGCGAGAGAGAAACGCGGTAACCATGGATACCTTAAAATACCGAGCGGATAACGTTCAAAATTTTCAAATAAATTTAAATTCAAAATTTTCTTGTACCACTACAGATTGGCTTTAAACTCGAAAAATTGAGAAACTTGGTGTTGGCATAGTGGCAAGTGCAATGTTCCCGTCGTCGATGCCTGATGTTTAGAGTTCGATTGCCCCTATGCCTCTTTATATATTCTATAATTTACACAGTCTAACCTCAAAATTTTGGCCAAGAAAAAGTGCAACGACGATACCCAAACGCACAACCTAATGAGAAGCAAATATGCAAGGGCCATTAGAACTATTGCACTGTCAATACTTAGTTCTTATATTCGAGTTCACGTCTTACTTGACTATACTTTCACCCTTCAAATTCAAAATTTTCAAAAAATCTTACTTTTTCCCCCTCGGTACAGGTTTTTCTTGTGAGGTAGCGGGAAACGCGGATACCAGGTGTTATCCGGCCGGGTACCCAAAACCCTGGTGGCAAGTGCATTGTTCTGTTCGTTGATGCCTGATGTTGGGAGTTTGTCCCCCCCTTTTGTATATATACACGTGATGCTATATTTTTAGTCAATACAAAATGCCCTTTTATTTATAAAGTATAGCTCTCACACACCTACGTATGTATAGCAGTCGTCTAGTATTTGTCATGAAAGCTGCCTAGTGAGCACTCCAGCAGAGCTAGTCCTTTCTTCGTACAAAAGTGATCCACAGTTAGGCAGACGACTAGATGTACGCCTCCTATTGATCAATGAGTAGTTCAAGTGTTCAACCATCTCCATGTTTCGTTGTCGTCAGTTATGGGCTGCATGAAAACAACAAGAGATGCCACTGTCGCTGAAAGATTTTTTTTTTTTTGCAGGAACGATGAAAGAATTACTCCCTCCAGTCGAAAAAAAGTGTCGTGGTTTTAGTTCAAATTTGAAATAGAACCACGACATTATTTTCCATTGGAGAGAGTAGTAGTTAATTACACAAGAGAATGCATGCATAGCAGGGAGAGTAAATACTAATAGTCTCTAGCTGATTGGATTGTCACTTGATTAGATAGCTGATTGGATTGTCACTTGATTGTCACTTGATACTATTACTTGGATAAGTTGTGAGGACATACAGCTTTCTTAATTCGGACAAGCAGACAGCTTCATAAAGAAAGACCCCATTAACCAGTGCAGGCACCTGTCTATGTCTGCCAGCTCTCCTATTCCTGTTTGTGATAATGACCGGGAGAGCTAGAAAGAGGGGTAACAATGGGCGAGACAAAAGCTGGTTTTCCAAGGGTCGGCATCGCCGTGGATTTCATGAAATCCATTTCTAGACAACTCAACTGATGGTTAGGCAAGTCCCTATGGCTATGAGGTGCTTGCTGCTCCTGGCTGTGTCCCTTGTGGCCGGACCATGGAAACAGCCCGGGGATGCCCGGCCACTGGTGCCTGCGGTCATGCTGTTAGGTGACTCGTTGCTTGACATAGGCAACAACGACTACATCCTGACTATTGCCAAGGCAAATTTTCCTCCATACGGTAGGGACTTTGAAGACCATATCGCCACAGGGAGATTTTCCAACGGCAAGGTGCTCAGCGATTTCATAGGTTGGTCGCAGTCTTACTCGATTGATCTTGTTAGATAAACGCATCCCTCAAGTGTTCAATTCTTGATCTTGTGTTACAAATTTTATGATTGGTTTCAGGTGAATCGCTGGGGTTTACTAGCTCCCCCGTTGCATATCTCAGCCCGGAGGCGTCGGGGGAGAATCTTGTTAGTGGAGCTAACTTTGCATCTGCCCAATCCGGCTATTACGACCAAACGGCACATATGTATGTAAGTATATATATTATGGTTTGTTAATTCTCATCTAACAAAGTCTCATGTGTAACTCATGGCATTTGATTTTATACGCGGAAATTCATGAGGATTTTTTTCCCTTTTTTGATATTTAGATGAGATTTAGTTAATTCACATCTAAAATGACAGCTAGCCAAACCTTACTTTGACATGCATTAGTATTAGATCTGCTCTTGACTTTCCCCTTAAAAATATTGATTCTCCATAGTTATCAACTCATCAGTCACACGAGGATGGATCACCTTTCTAAGTCAATATATCTGATTTTCAAATGGCATAGGAGTTACATGAGACTTTGTTACATGAGTAATATTTTTCTCCACTTTCATTGAGCGTAAACGATGTCTAACTTCGACAAATTGTGTGATGCAGAACGTGATCCCATTGTCCCAACAATTAGAGCATTTCAAAGAGTACCGACATAAGCTGGTAGTGCTAGTTGGGAGCAGCCAGGCTGAGTCTATCATCTCAGACTCACTCTATATCATCAGTGCTGGTTCAAACGATTATCTCTTCAACTACTACATCAACCCTTTCATTCACAAGTCCCCGGACCAGTTCTCTGACCTCCTTATCGGCATCTTCAACAGCACTGTGGCGGTGAGCAGCATGCAAGATGCAATTTTGGGCCTCGTGATTATGATCTTCTCAAACCTTGAACTAACTGTAGGAACTTTACGGCATGGGAGCTCGGCGCATTGGTGTTTTCTCTTTGCCAAGTTTTGGTTGTGCTCCCTTAACAATCACGGTGTTTGGCCATGGGGGCAACAACACGTGCGTAACGAGTCTCAACAACGACGCCAGGAAGTTCAACAGAAAGTTAAGCGCATCCATCGACTTGCTGTCGAAGCGGTACCACGATCTCAAGATTGCAGTTCTAGATTTGTACACACCTGTGTACAGCCTCGTCACCTCTCCTGGCTCACAAGGTAAGATTATAGTAGTATTTCAAGGCGTTTGATCCAGCTTATCAGCTAGGGCTCACCGAGATGATAGACTCAGCCTCACTCACTCTGAGTATGTTTGCGTTTTGGCGCCAGGGTTCACCGAGACGAGGCGAGGATGCTGTGGGACAGGGACGGTGGAAGCTACGGTGTTTCTCTGCAATCCCATCTCAATCGGGACTTGCCGAAACGCAACAATGTACGTGTTCTGGGATTCTGTCCACCCCACAGAAGCAGCAAACAAAGTTATCGCGGATTCCCTCGTCGAGGGAATCGACCTGCTTGTTATGTAAATCATATCGCTGGGACTAGCCATGCTGCAAGGGGTAAGGGACAGAGGCACCGCCCTTTCTACCTAACATTGCTTACGCCATAGATAGTACACGCCTTCATTGTAACTACAGCTGGTTCGTTCATACTGAAAACACTATAAATGACGTGGAATTTCTACACACAGGAGCAAATGCTCCTGGTGTGAACAGTAAAATCAAACAAAATTAAAAAATTCTGAATTTGTTTTGTGGCATACTTTCGCAAACGTTTGTTGTGCATGCAACATTTCATCGCAAAATCACATTGGTAGAAGGCATGATAAAAAAATCGATGCTGTGAAAATGTTACTTACAAAAGCATTTTGGAGCTCTGATTTTGTTTCTTTGCCACGACTTCCGCGAATGTGATTTTGTGATGAAATTTTGCATACACAACAAACATTTGTGTAAGTATGTCACAAAAAAATCAGAATTTTTTTTAATTTTTGATTTTACTGTTCACACCGGGAGCATTTGCTGTTGAGTGTAGAAAGGTACTTTCGATTTATATGTTTGATTTTAAGTGTCTGATGCATGTCAGCTATGGAGCCTATCGGCCAAGAATTGTTTGTGTTAAATAGCTCAAAGTTATTGGTTCTAAGAACCAATTTTATAAGGAGAACTGCCCTTGTCCATTAATATCACCAACAAGTTACACCACACATTTTCTGTGGAAGAGAGAAACCAAACCGAGCGAAATTACAGGGAAATAATGCAAGGAAACAAACAAAAATACACACGTTGCCGATCATCATAGTGGGGGAGAGAAAGGTGGGCCTCCAACTTGCCAACTCCGAAAAAGCACGACGGCTTCCCTTGTTGCGTTGCCGACCGCAGAATAGGCGTCACCACGAACACATTATTTGGAGCGTGTATTGTACTCACTCCGTCCCAAAATAAGTGTCTTGAGCTTAGTACAAATTTGTACTAGTGCTAGTACAAAGTTGAGACACTTATTTTGAGACGGAGGGAGTACTAAGTAGTCATAAGTAAGAACTAGATGATTCCCCGCTCGTTGTTGCGGGAGGTCTTAGCCATATATGGTGGTAATACATAAATCGACAACTTTGTTTCCATAGTAGATATATGATCTTAAGATGAAAAAAATGGTATGGACAAAGTACTTGGGGTATAGTTATAAAGACTATAAAATCTGAATTATACAACCACCACAAGAAATCTCACATGACTTGCATAGATATTAATATATGTAAACACATTAAGAAAATGGATTCAAAATGGGGACGCTATGGATGGAAATGCACAAATTGTCATGTTGAGATTCTTTGCTTACTTAATATCCGAAAAGAATTAATGGTAATTTACACATCAAGAGATAAATCAATAATCTATGCATACTTCAAATCTGCAAATAATGTAAACTAATCACGAATATTAGCCATTGTAGTAGCTTACTATGTTTGAACGGAACTTTTATCGATAATAAGAACAGAACGAATCATATCATCGGAGCAAAAAGATAACAATTTATTCTCCCTTTTTCCCCCAAAGCGAGTTCTAATTCCTTTTGTCTCAAAAGTCTGGTGAAAATACCATGAGAACTTATACATAAATAAGAACCGATATCCAAATTATCAACTTGCAGCCGGAATCTGTTTGCAACTAAACTTGAAAAATAATGAGCTACATTAAGCAAATTAAAAAACAATGAAAATTTGTATCGTTTAGGATCTCAAACATGATGAATTCTTTTGTTCAAACCTCAGACAATAGGCATATTCCAGATTTTTATTGCAGCAAATGAAAATTGGGCACGCACTACATGGAGTCCGGCAATCAAATACTTCGCAAAACTTGCAGTATTTGTGCTGATTTGAGCTCTCGTGCTTAACTTCCCATTTATCCCGATCGTTGTGCTTTTGAACTTCCATATAGGTATACCAAAGGACGTTTATCCCTACAATATATATAGTCGGGTATCAGGATACCAATGGTTCGCAAAGGAGCCATATATCTATCTATATGTGGTAAGAAAATATATACTTAAAACAACATCATGTTTGGATTCATAACAGAGATACTTGAGTAGAGGAGGACAGGAACATCAACGGCCTAGCAGGGCTTTTAGTGAACTGAGACGAGAGGCAACTGCAAAAAATATATAAAATAAAAGGGATGAACCTTAAATTGAGTATATACCATAGAATAGATAACCCGTCTTGTTGATGATATGTTCAAATATCTACCTGCTTGCTCCATAAAGCAGCAAAATGATTTGTCATCTATGTATTCGGTTGTACTTTGCATGAACATCCGAAGAACCGCTTTCAAATATTCTGCGTACTGCAAGGTGCAACATAAATAGGTCAAATGCTAGACAATGTGAAGTCCATCGTAATTAAGGATTTACTAGTCATCAACCCGTGCTTCTGCACGGGCTAGTGATTTGGAAGTAGGAATTTTTTTATAATATAGTACTTATATATTAATATAGCAAGATTTAGAAATATATAGGAATTTGATTGAGTTAGAATTTTTGGGTCAATTTATGGAGAGGAGAGACTAACACATATTAGAAGCCATGAGAATTTGAACCTAGTTATTTTGATTATACTACATATATTCCCAAGGGAAAGTAGTGGTTGCACCGCACCATAACGAGGAAAAATTATTTTGAAACAACTTATTCTAGATGTCTATGATTATGCATAGAGGTCTTTTGGCCATGTGTATACTTGCCCGGGTGAATACTGAAATTAGGGACAAATATTAAAATATAGAAAACAGTAATAATTAGGATTTTGCACGTTCGACTCTTCATCATCTTTGTAGAGCTTTTCTCATAAGCATTTTTGTCCTAACAAAGGAAGTTGAGTGCTCTAATTAAAAACTCAATTTTACTGTACAAATTTTCTTTTGTCTTTACAGCACAAAACCATCTGATCTGATGCATCCACATTGGCATGTGTGACTTTTAAGTTCCTGGTGAGCTACTTACTTATCAGGTGCATGGCCGGACTTTGCATCCATGTGCTTGCCACATTGGGACTTGCTTTGTTACATGTATACTAACCTATCGGTTGTGATTCCTCTATCTACATTTACTCTCTGATACTTGTCCTTAGTTTTAAGTACAGTTATCAAGATCTATCGATTACAATCCACTATAATAAGGTCCACGTGACAGTTGACATTTATTATATGCTAAACTTTGTAAGGCTTAGAAAATAGGAACAATTTACAATATGGGATTCTATTTGTGTAATGCAAAATGTATTAAGAATGTATTCGCGGGCTGGATGTGTAGTTGTTTATCAGAAATCTGTTGTGCACGTTATATACTCTCCTGAACTCGGTGATTATAAAAGTTCAAGCAAATATAGTGTAGGTCAATAAATATTGATGCGTATGGGAGGCTAAGTAAGTAAAAAAATGTAATCGCTTCCTTGAGCTCTATTCTAGTATACATTTGTTCCTTTTGCCGTGAAAATATGATAAAATTTTATGTTAAAACTCAGCATTATATTGACCATTACTTCTCCCACCTATAATAGTTTTCCTAACCTTTCATGACTAACTTTTATTTTATTACTTTTGCGGGTTGGGCATGCCTACGTTCTATAAGTATGGTAAAAGGATATAATTTTTTTGTTTGATTTTAGCCATAGCAAATGAGATGGCTTTCTCCTGTTCATTTATATCTATTTTTACACTAATGCTGGTTGGATGACCCTGGATTTCTACTTCTGTTATTGATGAAGAGTTTTTCAGAATATTTCATTTTAAGACCAACACATGCATACTTATTTACTATATAACAGTTATTTTTCATGGATGATTTCATACAGAGCGATGGCTTAACTGTCTCCCTTTTTAAGTATGGCAAGTCCAGGATTTCACACATGTTTTTCCCTGCGTACACGCTCAAAGTAAATGCATAGAACATATGTTTATACGTACCAACATCACACCGGCAATACTCCCTTAGCTTAGCTCCCTGCAACCAATCATAGGATCAGGATTTCAAAATCATATGAGCTCATGCATCATCTATGCAACATGCAAAAAAGAGTAAATTAGTGATTATAATTGGTCCCAATAATCAAGCCTGCAGTCCAGCATGTACATGTATAAAACAGAACTCTGCATGAAGCCAATTGCTTCCCCTAGAGACAGGTGCTGCAGCCGGGACGTGGATGCAAGCTCATTCGCCCACTATACATCCTCGTTTAAGCACTCTGTTTGATTATCCTTATGGTTGGTTGGGCTTTTCGCTGGGTACTCTGCAAGGACGTACATCTTCTACTGTCTACTCTGTAATAAGAAGCTTTAGCCAGATAATATTCGATCATTGTCAAAGTGCACAATTCACTGCTACAAATATGAACTGTATGGTACTCTGAAAACACATACATAATTTCTGAAAATGAAAGACCACACATAATAATAAAGATAAACCAACAAATATGGTTCATCTTTACACATAACTTGCCACCCAACGTCAGGAAAAGTGTAGACCAACCCCAGCTGCTTGCTTCCACTCCGTAGATTGCAAACTCTGGTCATGCGTCGTGTTCTAAGACTGTAAGACCACCTCCAATTGCATGATGCTTATGCCTGAATAAAAAAACTGAGCAAGCACCTCCAGCAGCGCCACAACTTCCAACGTTAGTTGCCTGTTTAGAAGGGCTTAGCCTGTTGTCTGCTTCAAACTGTCCTTAGTACAGTCCTCCTCCTCCTAAATCTAACTCATCTAGTAATCCAAAAATACCTCCTTCTGCACTTCATTGCGGTTTGGTCGGGGCATGGCAACTAAGGGGATTAAAAGGACCTTATCCTAGCCAAGATGTGTTGCTCCGTGGTAGGGTAGTAGAGATTCAAAGATAATTGAGCCAAGAGATGCGGAAGAACAGTTTTAGATGGCTGCAGCGGAAGACAATAGATTGGACAGAGGAGGAGGAGGAGCGCTAAAGTTTGTTGGATCGGTGGGGTTGACTGTTAGGAAGACAGTATTAGGAGGA